TGCTGTTAAAATTTTCAGACCTTCATTTTTTGAATGTGTGTTAGATAAAGCGTAACCTCGTCTACTTGCAGGTGTCTACCTCTGCAGAGGTTCTGCCGCCCTGGAAACAGGGAGACTACGCGACTGAAGCGAGCTATACCAGCATGGCCAGCATGGCCAGCATGGCAAGCATGACCGCTGTCAGCAGCACCACTCAGCTTCACATGGAGAAGCACTGGGAGCAGCAGGTGGCTGCCACCAGAGAGGTGAGAGCGGGTCAGCCTGCATGCTGGTTAACTCAACTCAATCAGTACGTCCAACCTGACATGTTAGTGGGTTTTGTTTGTGACTGCAGAATGAACAAATACTCTGTTTTTAGTTTTGCTTTTTAAACTCACGTCACTAACTTTTATGTTGCGAACATGTGGGCCCAGCTGTGCCGATGTATTGGATGTAAAGTGAACATGCATTTATTTTCTGTTCTTTCTGTCTTCTGCTTTTATTTTCTTTTAATGCAACTTTGTCCTTTCTTGGTTATTAGCTGTGGCTTCTAATGTGATTATCCTGTTTGCCAAAGCGTGACTCTTCCGGACATTGTTACTGTTTTGAATTCACTCATAACCTTAAAATCATATGTATCGAATTGAACTCATAATATCAGGAACAATCAAGCTCTGGGCAGCAAAAGGGTCAGTTTTGAAAAATGTATGTTCAATCCAAAGAAAAAACAAAGCTCTTTTTAAGAAGGTGTGGCTGAAAAAGTCTAAATCAGTTTGCAAACAAGACGTTTCTGTGAGATCTTTTAGAATTGAGTTTGTAGGCATGAATGGTAAATGACCTGTATTTGTCCCTAAGGACCCCAAAGTGCTTTACACTACATTCAGTCATCCACACATTCACACACACACATATATAAAAAGCTTAAAATTACAAACCATTTTCACTGATTCACATTTCGTGGTGCATCAGGGGCAGTTTGTAGTATGTTGCTCCGAGACAAAGTCTGACCGGAGGAGTTGAGACTGAACAGCTGGCCTTGCAGTACAAAGATGGATAAACACAAACATGTAGTGCACGTAGAACAGCGAGGGTAATTACAGTGCAACAGACATCTGCCCCTCAAAGCTAAGAGGTAATCTGACTCCACTCTTAATAAGACTGTTAAAGTTTAGACGCTGCACTAGTCAGCAATGATAAGAGAAAAAAGGGAGGTCCCATTTTAACCATACACAGCAGGTTTATTGACATCCTAGTAAATAAGAAAAGTTTATTTGTATAGCACTTTTTACAGGCAAAAAAGTGCTGTACAAATCACAATTATTAAAATTACTGCATCATTTACATAAGAAGTTTTTGGCTCAGGATAAAGAGAGAGTGTTTGGTCACCTTGTTGAGAAAATGACCCACATACTGAGGGCTAGAGTTCCTGC